TCTTCGAACCATTGGCCAAGCCATTCTGAAGCCATCTCCACGAGGTCCTTCAACTCCTCTTTGTCATCACAATCCAACAGCACTAACTTACCCCCCATAGCTCGGATTCGACAGTGAAAGTATCCCTCCATGTAGAATTTCTCCTGTAAATTCCTAACCATCTCAACAGAGTGGACCGTGCCCACGTATGTTCCCTCAAGCCATGCACTGTCTTCAGCTTTTGCTTTATACTCCATACCTTGCCACTTCTCCCCTGGTCCTTTCTCTTGCCAAACCTTTTTACTATCTACACCTCGCGAGCCTTTCACCACTTCAACGAAGCTTTTCCTTGTAAGATTGGCGATGGATTTTGAGGAATTTTCAGGACCTTTCCCTGGGAAGTTCTACGCTCCATCTCCTTTTTTTCCCTCGCATCATATCGTGGGATGTTCACCCACAGCTTGTGGTCACCAATCCAGATCTGGTCAAGTTTCCTTTCCAGGTCCTTCTTGTCTTTAACATCCAGGAAGCGCACAAAGCCGAATCTTTTACCATTCCTGTTCTTCCTTCTCGAGCTATATATGGCATAAACCCTTCCAAAATGACAAAAAGTACACCACATTTCTGCGTGGCTCCAATCTTCTGGGAAATTGGTGAAGAAGAAAGGCGTAGCTTGGTTAAACAAGCCTTTGTTATAGGCTCCTTCACCCTGTGACTTTTTGTCCAGCACTAGATCATTCGCTGTTCGACTATTACCAGCTGGTGACTTCCTCCGATGCCTACTTCTCCCTCGAGATCTCTCCTGCACTTTACCCTGTGCTGACCGTCCCGCCCGTGACCGATGATCGCTTGCTCTCCCTCTCCCTCTCTCTCATTTTTTTCTCCCTCTCCGATGGCACCTAACAATAAAGTGCAAATGCCTACCAAAAACATCAATAAAGTTCTCGGTGCTTGAGCTTACAACACTAGTTCTGAAGCCGGAAAGTATCAACAACAACAAGGAAGATATCAATTTCAATAGGGGTGACCAGGAGACATGCAGTTCCAACTAAAGGAAATCTCAAGATTGGCAACAAAGGCCCTGGCTCCTGGGGGATCAATTCAGGCACCCAATCAGGAAGTATCAATGGCAACCAAGGATCTATCAATCTCTAGTCAAAGAAAAGGGATGGTTAGTTGGATTTTATATATCCTTTAAGAGTATGTTTGTTTTGAAAGAAGTGAACGAGATGAGAGAAAATACTATTTCAGTTAATTAAAATAAGTTATTAAGTTAGTGTTAAGCCAAGGGCTTAACTCGATTAGATGAAATATTTTTTCCTCCCCTTCTCTCCACTAATCTCAAAACAAATAAGTTCTAAGTGACTGTTAGTTAAATTCGTAATTTAATTTTTGATACTCTGTTGTCCTTTAGTTTGTGTTCTATTTTTGTTTATTGATTAGATTTTAAAGTGATATTTATTATGTGAGTTAATACACTCTTTATAAGATTGTGCTATTGTATGTAAAATATTTCTACAATAAAATTGAAGTTTCACTTCCTTTATTGAGAAAACAATTCGAAATTCTTCTTCTTCTTTGTTGTTGTTGTATTTTTTTTTTTTTTTTGCCAACATTCAAAATTTTTCTTTATTAAATATATTAAATACTATGTTTACAAAGAATATACATAGATATGGTTATTTGCGCTACGGATGCGCACCATGAGCCGTCCAGAACTAGCACGTACACTACTAAAATCCTTAGCTTCAGCAACATGGAAGCATGTTGTTGAAAGTGGTTCCCATGTTGCTGAAAGTCCTTCAGCAACATGGATTTGCTTGCTAAAAGCTTTGTTGGAGAAGGCTTGGTGGGTAATACATCACCAACCAAAATCTTGTTGCTGAAACATCAGCAACATAAGCTATGTTGCTGAAAATATAGTATCAGCAACATAGCTTATATTGCTAAAAATATTCACCGGAATCCGGTGAGAGTGGGGGTGAATTTTCTCATCCTTTTCAACAACATAAGCCACGTTCAGCAACGTGGCTTATGTTGCTAAAAATTGAAAGAAATATGGCTGGAAACCGGTACCGGAATTCCACCTAATTTTCAGCAAGCAAAGTTATGTTGCTGATTTTCAACTTTTACCAAGAAAAACCATGTTGCTGATATTTATTTTTATACTTCCACCCATATTTTTAGCAACATACTCTTTGTTGGTGATATATCAAAATACTTCATAAAAAAAATTATACTTACCAAAATTCTAAACACATATTTTTTATTTTAATTTTTATGAAAATAAATATATTACATTAATTTTATACTATCAAATATTAAATTTAATAATATTACAATTTTTAAATGTAAAATTGATTTTTTATAATCACCAAATATTAAATATTTATTAAGTTTAACTTAATTAATTTAAATTAATTAATTTAAATTAAATATCATAAGTTGATTAATGTATGGTTATGTATTTTAGCAAACT